CCCCAAAACCCCAAAACCCCAAAACCCCATATGGTGCAGATAATTTGGAAGTTTTTATTAGGTTATAAATTATTTCTTAAATAATGGAGGAATTGAACTAAACTAGTCCACCATTGAGTTTTGTGTTTTAGTGGGCTCATAGTCTTGGAACAATTCTGTTAGCACAGAGACGCTCTTTGTGTCTATATCGTCCATGTTAAGCGGATCCATTTCTCAGCTTAGAGCTGCTTCTTGACTGATATCATCAGATCCTCGCGATGATGGCTTTGACTTGCTTTGAGGGAAGTCAAATTGAGTGTTTTGGTTTATATTTTGTTCAAGATATCTTTCCTGAGTGTTTAATCAAAACATCTGAAGATCTGTGGTATCTTTTGTCTTTTCCCGTATTGAGTCCTGACTGTTGAACTGACTAGGCTGATCGTTTGCTCGAAGATCTTCTTCCTCTTTGAATAAAGGCACTTCCTGGGATAATGGTTTTTGAATGTTTTCTTCTGAATTTATATCTAAATCAAGATCAGGAGGCATTTCAGGCATTCTTTGGATCGGTAATGATTCGTATCTATTTCGGAAAACATTTGAAGGATTTTGAATCGGATACATCATCGGATATTGAGGATAGTTAGGATAATTTGGGTGGATTAAATCCTCATTCGTATAAAAGTTTCTGACAGGAGCGAAATTGATAGGATTTTGTTCCTGAAATGTCTTCTTTGGAGTTTCGCTTTCTGTGTTAACATCAAGGAGCATACTGTTCTCTTCAATGATATCCTCACTTTCTTGTTTATCAAAATCGTATGATGACTGTTTTAATAGCTTTTTGAGATTCTTTTTGCTAGCTGATTTCGAACCTCCAAACAATGAGAATGATTTTCTCCTCACTGGTTTCACCTGGTTGGCGAGATCTGGATTCAAGTAGTGATTATGAGGCTCAACCTCTCCTTTGACTAGCTCATAATGCTTATACCCACTTAATTTTTGAAACTTAATCTTCCATTTTCAGTTAGTCTTCTTAGAGTATCTTTCTTTGCAATGCTGGGTCCTCTTACGTTTGGAGCCATATTTATCACAGTACAAGGTGATTTGAGTTGTTCCATCATTTAGGACTGAATCTCCTCGGGGAATTCAGATGTTGAAGCCATGCCTTTTAGACTCGTCCCTGACTCTTTCTATTAAGTCATCTCTTTCCAAGAATTTGGAATCGAGAGCATCAAAAATTTGTTGTCAGGTGTAGTCGTTGAAATTGACAGGGGCTGGTTTAGGTCCGAGGTCAATTTGGTTGTTGTGTGGATCAACTAACTCATATCCTCCCCAAGGTTGTTCGTAGTAAAGTCTATCTCCGACCTTGTCAAAGCATTTTTGATTAGAAATCTCAATGTTTTGAGGCGGATCTAGCTTAAAATTGTCGTCTATTTCTGGCATCTTTTGTTGAAGATGTTCTTGACGCTGCCCTTCACTATTCTTATTCTTTTCAAGGTTTTGAGGTTCGTTTATCGCATATGGGTTACAAGGCAGGGCAGGTGTCATCGGCTGTCCATATCAATACATATCCTGTACTTTGTTTAAACTAGGAAGATTCTGAGGCTGAAAGAAATAGTTTGGTTGGTTATAAAGACCCATCATACCTGGATCAATTTCCAGTTTTTCCTTTTCTTTTTTAATTTTCTTGGCCTTCATTGGGAAAGGCCGATATGGAGTAGCAAATGGTTCAATGATTATGATATCGTCTTTGTCAATAAACTTGAGGTCATCAACAATGGCACCATTCTCAAGAGTCAACCAGTATCGGAGGTAAGGCAAGAGATTAAATTTATTTATCAGGGTGTTAACTATCGCTTCAGTAGAATCGTACCTTTTGTTGACTTTGAGGAGGACAGGTCTTTTCCCTCTGACTGCAAACGTTCAGCGAACTCATTCTGTCAATGCTGCTTCAAGTATGTTCATATTTCTTTATATGACGCTATTGTTTTAAACAATATTTGTTTAAAATGGTTAAATCTAGCATGGCAAACCCACCTTAGCCAATATATATTTTTGCATTATAGAATTCAAGATTATATGCTGATTTGTAAGTTTCAATATTCCTTCAAATTTCAGGGGTTTTGGGGTTTTGGGGTTTTGGGGTTTTGGGG